CCCGATGTCTACGCCCCCCGGAGGCATGGCTTCGGCTTCTCCCACCGTTTCGGCGGCTCCGGGTGGCCTCGTCAACCACGCGGAAGCACAGGGACCTTCGGGACAGCCCCAGGCCCGCCACGGTGGCTCGAGTACGCTTGTACCCACTGCGTCCCCTCCCGACCCCTCGCGACGTTCCTCTACGGAGCACCAACGTCGCATGGTGCTGACTGCACCACCGTTGCCGAGTAACGATTTCCCAAAACCTAAAGGTTCGTGTTCTTTGTCACGAAATAGTGGTCCCGAGCCTCCCGCGGCCGCTGGTCATGCTGGTCGAGCGCCCGCGATGAAGGCCGCTTTTAATGAACAGGCCTACGCCGACGTTTTGCGCGAAAACGCCCGCGTAGACCGCTTGGTTTCGCACGCTTCTGCGGCTGGACCACCACTTTTGCCTGCCTCTCCTCGTAACTCACAATCCGGCCCGCCTTCGGGTAGCACCCAGATTGTCCTGCCGGTTGCCGGTGACATTTCCCTTGATGATATGTATTCAGGGAAGGTAAGCGCACCCGCGCGGCAGACCCCTGTTTTTGATGGAAGTCAGGAATATTACAACGATGAGGTTTTTCTCGTCTGGAACCGCCGTCCTTTCTATCTAATTGGTCGCCCTGTGAGTTCTCGGTCCATGGCATTCGCTACGTGTGCGGCGAACAGTTCATGATGGCGGAGAAAGCCCGCATTTTCGGCGATGATGCCGCATTGCCAAAATCATGGCCACCTCCGACTCCAGGGAACACAAGTCCCTTAGTCGGAAGGTACGCCGTTTTGAACATGCCCTCTGGGAGCTCCAACGCGAGGATGCTGTCTTTTCGCTTTTGTATGCAAAATTCGCCCAAAATATTGACGCGCGCGAACGTGTGTTGGCTACGGGTGACAGACAGATAGCGGAGGCTAGCCCTTATGACGGATTGTGGGTTGACTTACACGACTCGGGTTGGACCCCGGAAGCCATCAACAGCCTGGCGGATGTGCCGTGTGACTTTTGGGATGTGTTTTCGCGGTCACCGTCCGATTTCGGTTGCTGTTCCGTGAAACCGTTTCGTTTGGAAGTGCCCGCGGACGCGAAACCGTTAGCCTCGCGTCCCTATAGGCTCAACCCTCTGGTGGAGAAGAAGGTCGATGCAATTCTCGATCAATACCTTGCTGCCGGTCTTATCCAGCACTCGCAATCGCCGTGGGCGAGCCCTCTGGTTGTCATGCCTAAAAAGGACGTCAATCTGCGTTTGACCGTGAACTACAAAAAACTAAACAAATTGTGCAGCCTTGGCCAACAACCGCAGCCGCGTGTTGACCACATCATCGATTCCCTGCACAAGGGCAAAGTGTTTTCCGTTTTTGATCTAAACTCCGCTTTCCACCAGATCACAGTCGAGGAGGACACGGTTCAGCTTACGGCGTTTTGCACGCCCACACAACTTTTCGAGTGGCTCCGTATGCCTCAGGGAAGCTCCGTTGCACCGTCATGGTTCACTATGGTCATCAACGAAGTGGTTAAAGGTCTGGACCATGTGCTTGCGTACCTAGACGATGTGATTGTGTTTGACGCCGACCCCGTCCATCATGTCGCCAACACGGTTATTTTTGGAGCGTTTGCGCAAGTACAACCTAAAGCTTTCACCCCTCAAGAGTCGCGTCGGCACTAAGGCGGCTGTATATTTTGGCCACACCATCTCCCCTGCGGGTGTTAGTCTTCGTGCCGATAAGGCCGAAGCCCTCATAAAAATGCCGCTGCCTAATAACGTCAAGCAGCTGCGTTCTTTGCTGGGTGTGCTTTCGTATTACCCCAAATTCATGACGGGTTTGGCCGTGCGCGTGAAACTACTCACCGACCTTTTGCGTAAGGACGCGAAGTTTTGTTATACGCCGGCTATGGCGGACACTGTCAAAGAACTCTTGGCGAAACTGTCCGAACCTCCGGTTACGCTGTCGCGGATGGCAGCCGCCCTCTCCGGCTTTGCTGTGACGCCTGTGTGGATGGTTTTGGTGCGGCTCTTGAACAAGAACAGGCCGATGGTTCCGTTCGCCCAATTCTGTTCGTTAGCCGTGCTACGCTCGAATCCGAGCGCAATTGGACCGTGCTCGACTTGGAGGCTGGAAGTATCGTGTGGGCAATCAAACGCCTGCGCGGCTACTTTTGGTCTACGCACTTTCCGATTTATTCGGACCACAAGGCTTTGGAAAGCATCGACAAGGTGGGTGAACACAACGCCCGCGTTCAACGTTGGCTCGAGTTTCTTGTCTCGTTCAATTACACCCTTGTCTACCGCAAAGGCACTGCCAAAGCCAAGGCGGGTTTTCTTTCCCGGTTGCCCTTGCCGGCAACCGAAGCGGATAGACACTGTGACACCAGTATCGCAGTCGATGACGTTGCGGGCGTTTATCTCATTCGTGCGTGCGGACGGAGTTATCACTCTAGTTCGACGCCGAACATCGGCTTGGGTGGGCTTGACATTGACGATCAACGAGACGCGTTGGCACACGCGCCTTTGACGGAGGATGACTTTGGGGACTTCCGCCGTTTTGGGCCACAAATGGTCCTGCCGGCTCCGTCGTCCTCCTTCGTAGTTGACTCGTCGATTTTTTCGCTTCCTGATGTTTTCGCTGTTGTTTGCGATACAGCCCCCGTGAGTGATGTGCCCGATGGACCTCCTCCGGCTTCCGTTACTGCGGAGCCAGACGTCGCTCCCTCGTTCACCGTCGGAACCTCGTTGGCTGCCTTGTCGCTTTCGCGTGGCCCTCTGATTTCTTCTCGTACTCGGGCGAGAACGAATTCGGCCTCTGGCTCACAGCCGTCTCAATCATTTTCCAAAACACCCACGGGCCGTTGTGGTGCCAGGACGCCGCGGCCTCCTCGAACGCCGGCCCGGTCGAGCGGTGCCGCGATATCTACGAGAGCCGTGGGTAACCCTACCTCTGGTCGGCCGCCTTTTTCGGCGCCGGCTGGGCTGCCGCCGCCCCCCCCGCGTGCTGACGATATCCCGGTGCCACCGCGACCGCCCGCGGCGCCCACACCGACAGTGTTGTCGCCCGCGGGCACTAACCCTGAGGCTCCGGTGGTACCGCCCACGACCGCTGAGGAAGCTCATCTCCGCGATTGTGTGCATACATTCTCGCATGCCGACTGGGCCCGCGAACAGATGTCGGAAAGTGCGTGTGTAGCGACAATACATTTTTTATCTTTGGGGTCCCCGCTGGTTTTGCCGGATACATTCTGGGATAGCTTCTTCTGTGCGGGACGACCGGCATTGTCTGACGTTGTCGCCCTCGCATCTAAAACATGCCTGCACACTACAGACGATGGTACGCGATTGTTGGTGCGAGATTCTGCCCCACTGCCTGTCGGGCGGGCGTATCACTCGCCTCCCGCCTTCGAAGACTCCACGCATATACGTCCTTATGCTGTTGCGACCTTGGGTCCTACAAGCATGTCACGCAACCGCGTCTTGTCACCTGGGTACCGCTCGGACTTTACGTATGTCGGAGCGATTCTTCTGGTGGATTGGGATGGACTTGTCCGTTCGTTGGTGGCTTCGACAATGTTTAATTTGCCAAGCACGCAAGACTTCCCAGCGAACGTATCGCTGGCCTACGCTCACTCTGCCCCTCCCGAATGGGCCGGGAAATGTAGTGAGCGTCAACTTTTTTGGGCCATTGCCGGTCACGTCCCGTGGCAATGCATATATACTTTTGTTTACAGACCGTTTCAGTCGACGGGCGGATATGTATGCCACTGCCAAGGCGGAATTCACCGCTAAGGGAACGGCCAACATTTTCGTCAACCGCTACATGACGTTGTGGGGTTGTCCGGTGACTCTTCTTTCGGACAACGGCGNCCACTACCAAGGCGGAATTTACCGCTAAGGGAACGGCCAACATTTTCGTCAACCGCTACATGACGTTGTGGGGTTGTCCGGTGACTTTTCTTTCGGATAACGGCATGCAAATTTGTTCCGAGCTGTCCATGGCTATTTACGAGCTGATGAACATCAGGAAAGTCACCACCAATTCGTACCACCCCCAAACTAACGGTGGGGCGGAGCGTGTTAACCACACCATGGCTCAAAGGCTTGCTGTTGTGACTGAGCGTCAGGACGATTGGGGCGTCCATCTTCCCCATGTAGAGTTTGCATTCAAAAACTCGGTGAACACCGCCACAGGCTTGGCGTCGAATGAAGTGCATATTGGACGGTTGCCCCGTCTCCCGCTTTCTGTTTTGGACCACCCTAGCGTGGGTGGCCATCAAAGTTTTTTTGGATCGAGACCAGCTCGCTTTCTGCAACCTTCCGGTGGAACACCAGAGACGAGCCTACGCTTTGGTGCGGGAACAACATGCGATTACGGTGTCGCGTGTCGAACGCCGGAACTCTGCACTGTTGGACGGTTTGCGTCAGATACCGAAATATGACGTTGGTGGTTGGGTTTGGGTCTACAACTCCGCCGCTACTATTCGGCAGGGTGTGCGGAAACACACCGATGATTTGGTGCTCAAAGCGAAGCTTTAGCTCAATTAGACCGGACCCTATAAGATCCTTGCTTTTGGCCTGGCCAAAGCGGAGGGTTCACCGGATGGGAAACCTGTGAAACGCAAACTTTTCTACCTGGACCTGCCGTTAGACGTGCTGGGGCCAGAATTTCGCCGCCGTGTCTCAGTTTTGCGGTGTAAACCGTGTACCAACCCATACGACACGGATGACCTGCCTCCGCATATGCCGGCCAATCTGTCGAAATATATATTGTTCTCGTATAGTAGCAAGTCTCCCCCGCATAGTTTGACTGATGATATTGTAGCGGAGTCTAGTCGTCTAGAGGTTGAGAGTATTTCGGGACACCAAATTGTACGTGGACGAGGTGGTGTGGTAGCCGTTTTGTACCTGACCCATTGGATGGGTTTGTTGACTCCGTCGTGGGAAAGGGAGTCCGACTTGCAGGAATACAGAAAACACATCTTGCTTTACTGGTCTGGTAACGCTAGTCAGCGCGTACAAGGGAACCGAGCTTATCGTAATGCTCGGATAGCTTCGGCCGACCGAGAACTTGCTCGGAATCAGGCCGAACGTTTCATTGCTCCCGGGTACGAGTTGGCCTCGCGTGATGTTTTGTTGCCTCGCTTCTCTGTTTCCGTTTTACCTGTCGGAGCCCACATTTGGTACAAAACTTTGGATGGACTTTGGTGTCTTGGGCAAATTAGTAGTTTCGCAACAGGCCAGTACATTGTTCGATTTTTGGACACCCCCGGTCCCCGACAGCTGTCTCTCCCGGAGCATAATTACTCCACGGTTTTGGACGCTCCTTGCGGTTGTTGGTGCTTGCAAAAACACCGTACTCGTCGTTTGACCAACTATTCCACGGATGATGGCGTTACGTCGCGAACACCAGGCGTTGTGGCACAGCTAGCTGTTGCCCCATCTGGATCTGTGCTTTGATAGCATGCCGCCTTCGAGCCGCTACATGGTTTTCTGTTTTTGGTGTTTTTTTTCTACGTCATACGCAGGGGTACGCTAAAAGCGTGTTTGGGTAGTGTCAGCTTCTTCTCTATCGTTGCAATAGTTCCCCCGACTTTCGCGCTTTCGCCACGACCGACCCCCGTTTGATTCAGACTGGTTCCGTCGTTGGTGATGTGATTCTTGGTAGTCATCACTGTGTGGTGTGGGGATGGTTTGGAGTATTTGTCGGGGATGAGCTATTTTCTCCGATCCTAGTTGCTGATATTTTCTTCATGTTTTGTCTGATTTGGAAAGTCGCATCTTCGATCTTTATTTGAAGTTGAGTATTGGATTGAAGGTAATTTCTGAATCTACGACTTCCCAGGGTGGGCTAATGAAATGGAGCAACTAGTGCATGAGCATTGTACGAGCGTTTCATGAACGTTGTATGAGCGCTTATTGGATATTTTGAATTTTCTTGATATGGATAGTCTAGTTGGCCTCGTCGAGGGGTATTGAAATAGCTTGAAGGAAGATCAAAATCCCAGTCCCGCTCCCTCACGCTCCGAGTGGGCGCTGAGCGGACCTGGTCTAAGAAGACTAAAACAAGAGATCAAACAACAACTGTGAGTACCCGAAGCCAGGAGCAACGAACTTGCTCCCTCCCCCTTTTATTTCCTGGTTCCTCCATGACACGTTTATTGTTAAGGAGTGTGACTGCTAGCATGGATAGGGTACATCGTATTGTTGATAGGATGCGGGTCGGTCAGGNCCCGCTCCCTCACTCTCCGAGTGGGCGCTGAGCGGACCTGGTCTAAGAAGACTAAAACAAGAGATCAAACAACAACTGTGAGTACCCGAAGCCAGGAGCAACGAACTTGCTCCCTCCCCCTTTTATTTCCTGGTTCCTCCATGACACGTTTATTGTTAAGGAGTGTGACTGCTAGCATGGNTTGAGTATAGAATCTACATATATGATATCCAGGGTGGGCTAGTGTTAAGGAGTGTGGCTGCTAGCATGAATAGGGTACATCTTATTCTTGATAGGATGCGGGTCGGTCACGAGGTATACCCTTCTGACCCCTACCCCCTTAGAATTGTCTACTCTGTGTACCCCCTGAGGTGAAGTTGGATCCCCACTTCATCCCAGACCCTTGCTCATCGTCTCTCAGCAATAACAAGCAACTTTCCCATCTCAACGTGGTCGTGGACAAGCGTGTCAACCACAGTACCTTCATCTATCTTTAGGAGCAAGCTACCGCCTACGGCATCACTCCTTGAAACTTGGCGTCAGCTGGCATTACACGGTAAGCGGGTGCTGGACGCGGCTTCCACACTGCTGTGTGTTGTTGCCACGCGTTTCACAACCACCGTGTTGCTTGTATTTTGGTCTCACCACCCACGAGAATCTAGACCTAGCCTCTTCTCTGCTTCCTCTCCTGTAGAGATGCTGGCATGTGATGCTTTTGCGAAGCGCCCGCGGGACTGGGACCTTGCAAAGGGTACGCGCCTCGGAGGCCATCGCGATGTTTTGGGTGATTTTTCGTACGTTCGCCGTCCCTGGAAAGCTATTTTGTCTGCATCGGCGGCCCATGAAATGATTTCTGTGGCGGATACCCTCTGCATGGAGGGTCCTGAGTTGCTGGCCTTGTGTAGTGGGACCCGAGATGACAGCATGCTTCCCACGTCTGCTACCACCTCTACTTCATTCATGCCGGCGTACCGGCCGATGTCCGCGGATTTTCCTGTTGTGCTCTCCGATTTGACTCCGCTTGCACCGACTTGGAACGCGTTGTGTGCACACACATCGGGTGTCAGCCGCCCCACCAGCCTTCCCTCCATTTTTCGAAATCACATGGCACTTTTTTTCGGGGAATCGTTCACTCTCAAAGCATTTGAATTAGAAACCTTTCAACAGCGCAAACCCACAGCGATCTTTGCTCGCACCTCGGCGCCAGTTGCGGAGGAACGCCGTGCTGCTCTGCGTGTCTTTTGGTCGGAAAACCTCGTGTCT